TGGTGCGAGACAGCGTGTTTCGGCGCTGCGGCCTGCGCGGCCTCTCCTCCCCACCACCTGGGGGCGCGCTGCGGCCTCGCCGGGGCAGCCACCCCGACGCGGATCTCGACGGCACCGGCTCTTCACTCCGCCGTGGCCGCTGCCGGTCGCTCAGCGACGTGCGCGTGCGCCGGTCGGTCCCACCACACGTGGTGGATGAGCCTGACCAGGCAGTTTCTGGCAGCTCCGTGGACAGCTTCTCCCGAGGTTCCCTCAAGATCAGCTGGAACCCGTGGCGCCACGGGCTGTCGTCAGTGGACAGTCTACCCCTAGATGAGCTGCCCAGCACTGTGCAGCTACTGCCTGCCCCAGCCCCTGCTCCCGCTGGGCCCGGGGAACCGAGTGAGGTCCAGCCTCGCTGCAAACCCGGAGACTCCCGCAGCGCCTCCAGTGACACCATCGAGCTCTGAGCCAGCCCCACACTGCTGCAGAACCAGGTCCCGCTCTCGGTGGCCTTATGTCACGGCTGACTGGGACAGTTGAGTATTTGAAACACTAGCATTCCCGGGCCTCAACCTGGTTGCAGAGACACTCCCAGAGACAGCTGGGAGTGAACCCACCCTCACATTTTTTTTTTTTTTTAATATCTCTATTTTTTTTCCCAACGGGTATTTTGCACAGAGGCTGTGACTTATGCAGAATACATGGTGAACATGCATGGATTTAGGTATGGGGAACAGAGTCCAGGTGCCCCCCAAACACCCTTCCAGACTCCCCACTGTGGAGGGATGAGGCTTGATTATCCAGATTGACTGTCCTCTTTGTGCCAAAGAAATAAACCCTTAGGACTTGGCTCATGCCTTCCTCTGGCCACCCCAGGATCCTGTTCAGAGGCCCCGCCCTCCCAGTCGTTCCAAGTCCTCTGTGCTGGGGATGGGAGGATTCCCAAAGGAAAGGGCACTGGACCCTTAGCAACCTTAGAAATAATGGCTACTAACATTTTACTGAACATCTACTATTGCTGTGCACTATGTTCAGCTCTTCACATTCATCACCTTATTCTCATAAGAAGCCTGAGTGGAAAACATTATCATGCCCATTTTATAGATGAGAAGAGTGAAGTTCAGAGATGAAAATCATTTGCCCAGGGACTTTGGCCCAAATGATAACTGGTACTGAATCCAGAAAGTCCAGTCCTAAGGCTAGTTCCTCCATTCCCCTTCTAACACTGCTTCAGGGCCAAGCCTTTCCTCTCTCCTCTCTTCTACTCCAGCAATGTAGCTCTCAATTTCCCAGGGTTTTAGAAAACTTCCCCAAGGATGGGGGGCTCTCAGTAGCTTAGGCCAACTCATGGTGAAGGACAGGTAGTAAGACTGAAGCTTTTCCATTTTCCAAGACTTTATTTCCTGAGATGAATAAATAAATCAGTGGCTGAGGGGTGGGGGGTGAATACAGAACAGGAGCTGGCAGCATGCAGCTGGCAGGCGGATGCTGTGGTGGACCTTCCTGCAAAGACCCCCCCTCATCCTGGGCAGGAGCCAAAGCTCACCAACAGCCTCCACAAGGAGACACCTTTTCTTTAAAAATGCACACACATTGTGAAGCCTGCCCAGTACCCTCAAGGCCAAGATCTCAATGTATCCACCTTTAGGGCTACTTCCTCACTCCAGGGGCCTCACCTGCCCAGACCTAGGTGCCTGGGCTGCTTCGCAGGTGGATAGGGAGTGCTTACCCCACTCTCAAAAATAAAGCAAGCTGCCTTGAGTGTCCAGGCAGGAAACACCTGACCTCTGGGGGCAGCCGGGGTGAGAGGAGATCCTACAGGTGTGGCAGAGATTATCTGCCTTTGATGAAGCCTTCCAGCACACGGTCACTGCGCTCTGACAACCAGTAGCCAGTCATGGCTGCCACAGCCCCAATGAATATGGCGGTGAAGACCAAGTCGCCCTTGGCTGCCAGTGTGGCCAGTGCACAGATGATGACACCAAAGAACATCTGCTGCAGCACCACCAGCTCGTCCTCCGTCATCTCCGAGAAGAAGCCTGCTGACTCTTCAAGGAGCCAGAGAAGCACCTGTCACTCCTACCCCATTCCTGGAGTCTCCCACACACCCGACAAGTGCTGCCACCTGCCTCTCTGGCATGCCAGCACACATCATTTACTGCTGAGAACAATTCTGAAAGGGGCAGTTATTATCCCTCTCTCATTAAGTAGTAAACAGGCTCAGAGAGGTGATGAGGTTTGCTCAAGGCCACATGGTGAGTGAGCTGTGACGGAGCATGTGTTACATGTACTAGCCCAGCTCTAGAGCCAGACTACCTGGTTTTGACTGCCAGCTTTGCAACCTGCTTACCATGTGGCCCTGGGCAAGCTGCTTCATCTCTCTGCATCCTAGTTTTCACTATAAAAATGGGATGAGAAAGATACAGCATTGGATTTGTTTTAGGGGTGAAATAATATATGCAACATGTTTGGAACAGCATCTGACAAATGGTAAGAGCTGTGGAAGTGGTCACTATTGTCATCACTGTGATTGTCCATCTCACTACACCGTGGCCTATAACAGCTCTTGACGGGCCAGGGCTAGGACTGGTCCCATTGGACAGATGAGGAAAGAGGCTTGGGAAGGCAAAGTGATTTGATGCCAAGTCTGACTTACTTTCTACCCCGAGGAGGTGTGAGGCCACCAAAAGCCACCCTGGAGATCAGCTGTAGGCGTCTGGTCTCAATGCAGCCTCATGAGGGCTGGGAGGTGAGGGGTGGGTGGGGCAGGGCCTATAATTGCCTGGAGAAAGGATTTGCTGACCCTCCCCCTGCAAGACTTTCCTTCCCCAGGTTTGCTCACCTGGGATCTGCTCCTTCACACAGATGCCCTCAATCTGTTTGTAGCCCTCGGTACAGACACAACGGTAACTGCCCTCGGTGTTCTTGCACTGCTCGTTCTCTCCTGGACACATCTCTGTCTCACACTCGTCCACATCTTGAGGGAGGGCAAAGAGGGATCAGAGCCCTGACTGCCAGGGCAGCACCCTACATGCAGCACCCCTGACTCGGTGTTGCTCACATCCTGACAACTCCCTTCGGCCCTTGCCCAGATAACATTCCACCCTTCCTTCCCCTGCTCTGTCCATATTCTAATCCCTCTCAATCTGTGGTGGCAAGGCCCTCCAAGGTGCCTGTGTCCCATTGGCAGGAGACTCACCGAGACACTTGGAGCCCACCTGCTGGTAGCCAGAGCTACACTTCTTACAGCGGCCCGGCCCTGCCCCCATGCAGCCCAAGCAGGCCTTGGAACACTCTAGAGAAGGGAGAGGAAAGAAAAGGGTGAGAGGAAAGAAAGGAGGTTCCTAGGCTTGGGAATTCTGATGCCTGAGAAGGCAGAAGTTTGGGGGGAAGTAGCTCCTCCTATCCTTCCCACATCCCGTCTTCTGCAGGAGTGGACACTCACCTCGGCACTCATAGGAACCCTCTGTATTCACGCAGAATTGGTCAGCTCCACAACTGGCTCGCTCTGTGCCACACTCGTCAATATCTACAGAGAGGCCAGCAGGGTTGGGATTTCAATCCCTAGTTAACTAACAGGGAAGCGGAGGCCAGGATCGGGGAATGGACTTCCCAGGCTCAAACGATGTGGCAGAGATTGCGGGCTGCCCAGGTAGAGACTACATTTTCTGACCTGCTCTGCAGCTCAGTATTATGGCCTTGTGAGTTGAGTTCTGGCCAACAGGATATAAACAGAAGTGATGTGCTCCACTTTTAGCTTGGCCTTAAAACAAAGTCAGGCGGGTTTGGACTCTTCCACACACTTCCTTCCCTTTCTTACTTCTTGAGTGCCAGGTCATAGAACAGAGGTGCCAGTGACCCAGCCTCAACCATAAAGACAATACCCAACGGGACACTGCACAGGAAGAAAGAATGAATCTGGGTCCTTGAATAATTATGACAAGCAGAGCTTCTCTGCCAGCCTGCACCACTTGCTTTGAGATTGTGATGTGAGATAAAAATAAACCTCTATATTCTTTAAGCTACAATTGTTAGAGATCTTTTTATCACAGCAGCTTAGCCTTTACTCTTATCTATATAAATGGCTAGGTTTGAGACCAAACCAAATCTCAAACCCACGTTTCCTGACCCAGGTTCAGTATTCTCATTCCTCTAGCTAACCGTTCAATTTTCCAAATTTAGCCTAAGTGATACCTCCTCTAAGAAGGCTTTCCTGATTCCCTGATTCACTGAGCTGGACCAGGGACATCTCTCACTGTACGAAGATCAATCTGTACTGTTAAGTGCCTGGTTACTTTTCTGCCTTCCCAACCATGCTGAGATCTCCATGAAGTCAGAGACTGTGTTGGTCTAACCGAGATGCGGAACCAAGCCCAGGCCCCTGCCCACCTCTCCAGAACTAGGGCAGGGCCTCACTCACCTATACACTTGAGGTGATGCAGGGCCCAACCCTTCTTGCACTGTAAACAGTTTGATTCCTCAGGTCCTGAGCAGCGGGCACAGGGGCCAAAACAAGCTGAGTAGAATGAGGGAAGTATGAGGATGAGCAGGCAGGCACCCCATCTGCCCCTGCCCAGTGCCCTGCCTTTTGGCTACCTACCCGAACATACCAGATGGCTGGCGTTGCGCTCCGCCTCAAAGTAGCCGAGGCCACACTGGCCACAGGCCTCACCCCCATAGCCGGCTTGGCAGTCACAGTGCCCGCTGCCCCCTCGAGTCCCTTCCCCTTCACACTGCCCATAGCCACCGCAGGGCTTCTCTGTGCCCCCAGGACAGGCTGTGGGCAGACACCAAACCGGGTGAGATTGTAAATACAATTCTGTATATAGAAAGTATTAACATTTTTGGAGAGAAAACAATTTTAATGGCAACATATATTTTGTCATAAAACTGTATGAAATTTACTTAACCACTACTCCATTGTGGAACAATTAGGTTATTTACAAATCTTTTCTTTCATTAAGACTGAATTGACCATTTTTGTCACTAACTCTTTATCTGCAGCTTCTGGACAGATTTTTCTAAAAGGGGCTGTTAGTAAGTTCAGCTTCTGACTCAGGACTGTGTGTAGGAAAAGGTGGTGTCAATATGGGCTCCAGAGCATCACCTCTCATCCCTAGGAAGCTCTCTTTAGTCCAGGGGCTAAGGCCTGGTCTGATCCAGGCATGGGAAATGAGGGGTAGGTGTAGGGGCATTTCTCATATACATGCATCTGATTCAGTGTAGCCGCTTTTTTCAGAGCTATTCCCCATTGATTTCCTCATCTCACCAGCCCTGTGCGGCAGGTGGAAACTGAGGTCCAGAGAAGTTATTTGAGGAGCCTAAGCTTTCACAACCAGCTATAGGCAGAGCCAGGACTAGATCTCTGGCCTCAGCAGTCCCCTCCCATCTCCCAAGAGGAATTTGAATAACTCACCAAGGCAGGAGGGCCCGAAGGTGCCTGAGGGGCAGCAGAGCTTCAGGGAATCTGAGCAGAGCCATTGGAAGAGGTCTGGGGCTTCCTGCTGCCTGAGGCAGGGAAGTGATATGAAAGCAAGGGGGCCTGAGATAGTGTCAGAGGTGCTGCCCACGCCCCACAGATTCTGTATCTCACAGAATCTGTGATACAACCCACCTTGGGCATAAGACCCGTAAGGCCACCTGACCAGTGCCCTTTCCCAGAGAGATAAAGCAAAGCTCACGGTGAGAGTTTGGGTACTCCAGCAGATCCTTAGCAGATCTGGGTTTGGAAGAAGCAGCCAAACCAGAACTCAGCCCCTAGCATGCAACTCCCTGCTTTACTATCAGGCCCTGCCTGTGGCCCCCTCCCTGGGAAGGCTCTCACACAACTCACTTGTGAAACCACCAACTCTCCACCAGCTCCTCACTCAGCTCCAGCAGGCGGTGGCACTCGTAGTCTGACTTGCTGCACACGCTCTCAAGCACTTCTACCAGGCGGGTCTCACTGGCCAAACAAGGTGGGGAGTGGTGGGAATAAGTTCCATTCCACCCACCACCCTCCTTAAGATCTCCTCTCCCACCACTCCTCATGCCATGACAGTGTCAAAGGAAAGGCCATAAGGCATATTGGAAGAAGTATTTGTTTCATATTATATGTATATGTATTATATTATATATTTAAAGGCTCTGACACAGTGCCTGGCATAAAAAACAACACAAAAACAGGAACCATTATAGAGCTGGAAGTACCCATAGGGTTATCTTGACCAGTCCTCTCATTTTCAAATAAGGAAACTGAGACCTATTGAGGGGGAAAAAAAAGTGGCTAATATTACACAATAAAACCTTTTATTTCTAGTGGGCATTACAGTTTAATCTTTACCACAATCTTATGAAATAGGCAAAGCAGATATTAATAGTTTACAGATGAGGAAACTGAGGCTCAGAGGTTAAGAGACCTTCCCTTAGGGTACCAAAGATCAGAACTGACAACCAGGTCTGTCCAACTCCAAGTCTTTGCTGATTCCTTCTCCTTAATTTGACTTTGAAAAGCTGGAGGGCCTATGGCTCAAGCCTTTCCTCTTAACATAATCACATATTGTCCCATGGCTTTACATACTTACTATACGCTGATGACTCCCAAATTCATGTTTCTAACTCCCACTTCTCCCTAAACTCCGTATTCCTAAATCTAACTCAACTTGACTGTTTAATGGACATCTCAGGCCAGCATGTTCAGAGAGGATACCTGATTGCACTCCGCCCCTAAATCTTCTCCTTCCTCAGTTTTACCCATTTCAGAAATCAGTCCCACAATTAACCCAGTTTCTCAGGCCCAAAACCTAGTAAGCATCTTTTATTCTTTTTCTCTCATACCCCATAATGAATCCATCATCAAGTCCTATCAGTCTATATGCAAAATATACCCAGAATTTGACCCCTTCTCACATGTCTACCACTAAACACCATACTAGTTCATGCTGCCTTCATGCTTAGACTATGCATTAGCCTCCCTGGTCTCCCTGCTTCCACTACCTGGCCCCCTATAGTCTGTTTGCTACACAGTGGTACGAGTGATCTTTTATAAATAAGACCACATCACTTCTCTGCTCAAAACGTTCCAATGGCTTCCCTCTACACTCAGAACGAAATCCAAACTCCTTTCTGTGGCCTTCGAGGCTGGGCTTCTGCCTTCCACTTCTACCACTCTCCTTTCTGCTCACTCCATTCCAGCCACTTATCAAATACGTCAAGCTCAGTCCTACTCTGTCCACATCTTTTCCCTGATTGTCACATAGCTTGCTTCTTCAACTGTCTGTTTAAATGCCACATCTTGAACACCACGCCTCTCACCATTCTGTAGTTCACCCAGCTTTACTGTTCTTCATCTAATATGACATTTATTTCCTTATTTGCCATCTGTCTCCCCTATAAGAATGTAAGCTCCTTAAAGATGAGATCTTACTTGCCTTGCTTACTGCTGTACTACACATGTTCAGTGATATATGTTGAATGAATAAGCACTACCCAAGAGGCTCTAAGCCTCCTCCAGTAGCAGAGCAGAGATTAGGTGGTAAGGTATACAAACCCACCTCTCCAGACCCTCACCTGTCTTTGTATTTGGACAACTTCTCTTCCTCCCAGGCAGTGTTTCCACCTCCAAAGTTATCCCGGATGGTTCTCTCCAGGCCCTAGAAATGGAGAAAATTAGTAATGCCTAAGTATAAAAGTACAGAGCCTGGCACATTCTAACACTTCAGTATTTCACTGACCAAGAAACTGAGGCACAGAAAGGCAACCTGCCCAAGGCCATACAACTAGTAAGTAACCAAGACAGAGTGCATACAGACTTGTATCCCAGATCTCTCCACTCTCAACCACTGTTGCTATAATAGCTGGGCCCCTCCCACCAGGCTGCTGGTGCACCCACCTTGTTGAAGCTGTCGACCAGTCCCCGGCACGTATGACATGGATGGGGCTCAGTTGGGGGAGAAGACTGAGGAATTGGAGAGGGCTGGAGCCTAACTGGGCCTGGGAGGCTGAAGATGAAGGTCAGGCCCCAGAGCAGTGCTGGGACCAGGCCCCTCGGGGGTCGAGGGGCCATCTTTTCCCAGGCTGGGGACCTGTAGATAGAGGGTATGAAGAGGGTTCGCTAAAGGAGCCAGGGAAGAAAAGGGTCGGCCTGGGAGCCCAGATCTGCGTTATTAAAAGAAAAGGAGGCTAGGCTGGGGTAAGGTCATGGTAGGGGAGATGACGGGGAAATGAGCCTAGTCTGCAATTCCAGGACGAAATAAGTTATCCTTGTTACAGCTGGGAAGGTAGCTTGGATCCTTGGCAAGGGGGTAGGAGTCAGTCCATTGTTTTAGAGTCTCAATATGAGTTATTAGGGACCAGATCAGCAGAACTAGGGAGAATGGGTCAGATTCCAAGTATTGGGGGAGAAGAGGCCGGATGGGCGGTCTTGGGGGGAGGAGCCTGGATCCGGATATGAAGAGAAGGGGTCGTTCCCGAGCCACACGCGGCAAAGCCACTGCCCACCAGCAGGCAGGGGAGGACCCAGATCCGGATAGATTGCGGAGGAGGAAGAGATGACCCACCCAGCCTGCGGGCGCTGACGCCTCAATCTCCCAGCGCCGTCGCTGCCGCCGCCTGCGTAAGACGTGCAACCTCCGCCAGCTCCGTAGCCTGGGGGCGGGGCCCATGCCACAGCCAATGGTGGCGAGCCATGTGCCATCGCGTCATCCCGTGACAGCCAACCAGAAGCGGCACCAGGCTGCACCTGTCCGGTTGTGAAAGGGTCGCGGGGACATAGGCCGCGAGCAGCGTGCCAGGCTTGCCGTTCGGGCAGAGAGACACATTGGAGAGACGTGGATAGAAAAATGGCGTTTGCCTTTATTCAAGTCCCGTCCCCTGCTTCAAGTCCCATCTCGCGTCCTGTCTCTGGGGTTCCTAGGGGACCGACGCAGCAGCCCAGGGCGGGCTGAAGGGCCTGGGACACTTGCTCTGCCCTGTCCGCGAGACGACCCGGGTGGGATAGGCCGGGTCCTTGCAGGGCCCGCAGGAAGTCGGGCAGCTGGGAGGGCAGAGCGAGGACCGGCACGGCAAGGAACAGGGAGGGCACGGCGTCCCGGTGGAGCAGACTATCGAAGTAGGCCCCGACGTAGCGGCCGGGCGCCCGGCCCTGCATGAAGTCGGGCAGCACACAGTTGAGTGAGGCGGCGAAGGCGTCGTGCGGACCGTGAGCCCCGGTCGCCGACGCCCCGTCCTGCATCCACTCGCGGCACAGCGCCACGGCCCCGGGCGAGAAGAGCAGGACCACCACTCCACCCTCCTGCAGAGTCTGTCGCCGCTGCGCGTGGAACCAGGCCAGGGCCCCCTGCGCACTCAATTCACGACGGCTCCACAGGTCCACGGCCACGCGTAGAGGCAGCTGGCACAGCGCTGACGCCAGGGCGCCCACCAGGCGCTCAAAGTCCGCGTTGTCGGCGGAGTAGAGGAGCAGAGCCGCGCGGCCTCTGGAGGCTACTGCGGGAGAGAACGGAGGGAGAGGGAAGACGTGAGACCGCCAGAGGCCCGGCCCGCCGGGGGCGGCCCCCCGCCCGGCGCTTGCTCACACTCACCCCCCGCGCGGACATCCTCTTTCAAGAGCCTCAGCCACACTGTTAGGGGAGAGGGATGTAGGCGGCGGGTAAGCACAGCAGTCGCCTCCTCTTGGCGAACTCCCAGACCCGCTCCAGTCCTGCCCCTGGGGAATGGAGCTGGGAATCGCTCACCTTTCACATGGTCCTTTTTGAGAAGGAGGAGAAGGAAAAGCACAGCGGCAAAGAGTAGGCAGGCCAGCCACACCAGGGCCCAGCGCTGGTGGATATCTGGGAGGTCCAGAGGAGGAGATAGTCTGGTTAAAGACTGTACACTTTCGCCCCACTTCATGAAGGAGAAAAACTGAAGCTCAGAGAAATGAAGTGACTTGCCTAAAGTTCACAGCACATAGCAGAGCCAGTATATATATGAACACAGATCCATCTACTGATAAGTGACTTAACTTTATGCCTTGGTTTTCACCTCTGTAAAATTGGGAAAACAATAGTGCCTACTGGTAAGGACTGTTGTGAGAACTTCATATATTAATACACATAAAGCCGCAGTAAGTGCTCAAATGTCAGCAATATTATTGTCCCCTAAGCCTAGAGTGGCTGGGTCCTTGACTTCACTCTCTTGAATGATCGCAACAGCGTTCTAACTGGTGTCCCTGATGTCTTTTTTACCTCCAATTCATTCACCGCGTGGCAGCCCCCAGAGATCTTTTAAAAATACAAATGTGATTATAGCCTTTCAGGAAGCTTCTGCTGCTCTTAATGTAAATTCCAAATTCCTTGGCTTCCAAGGCCCTATATGGCCCTTGCACCCTCATCTCATGATCTGCCTCCAAAGACATTTCAGCCACAATGACTACCTTGGAATTCCTCAAAAAAGCATCCCACAGTCTTCACAAAACTGCATCTCTACCCGCTTCAGGTAGATCAGCCTTCAGATTTCAGCTGGAACCTTTTGCCTGAACTCACTCCACCTAGGTCAGGTCCCCATTATATGCATTCATGGCTTTGGACACTATAGGGAGTGCTTCCACAACTCACACTAAATGTAAGTGATCTGTGGCTAATGCCTTTCTAGCTTCCTGTGGCTGGGGTGGGGGGCAGAGATTATGTCTTATTGGTGATGTCAGGATGCCCTGCAAGCTGTCATCATAGTTTCTGAATAAATGAAGGAATGACCCTCTGACTTATCTGAGCCAGGGAAGGACAAGGCCATTGCATGAGCTGCCCCCAGGAGTGGTCTCTGTCAAGATTGTAGCTTCTGGAGAGCAGAGAAGAGGAAGAGCAGTTTTTGTAATACTCACACTTGTCCATGGGGCAGGCCCATAATGCTCCCAGGTCATCATCCCACAGCTGTAAGAGACAAACAAAATCAAATCCAAAGTTCTCAGCTTGGTGTTCAGCAATCACCAAGTTCTAGCCAGCTTGATCTACAAATTTCCAGTCTCAAGTATGCATATTTCACACCCAGCAGGATCCCACAAGCTGCTCTGCCTTTGTTTATGCTGTGCCTACTGTCTGCCCTATGCCTTCCTCCATTACCAGAGTTAGTCCACCTAAAGAGACCCTTCCTTGAAGCCCTCCCTGGAAATCAATCGGTAGCATATGTGAATGTTGTTATCTGTTTACTGATTTTTAGCCAGCAGTGAGCAACTTGGGGATAAGATCTATACTTCAAGTTTTAGCTTTCCCAGGACTGGACACAAAATAAACACAAATAGATGGTGGGTAGGTGCTAGGAGGACAGTGAGGAGCTCTCTGCGTAGGAAGAATGGGAGTTTCCATGATGCCCTCTGCTAGGCACAGGAAGAGGTGGAAGAAGCTGAAGATAGAGTGTTGAGTCTGTTGCCCTTGGGCATTGGGGCAGGGTCCTTCTGCCACCTACTCACCTGCAGACACTGGCCTGACTGCAGGTCTTGTAGTAACTGCTCTCCAAGACGAGCTGCCCTCTGCCAAGCCAAGAGGTAGGGAGCTGTCACCTAGGGACACAGCACTTAGGAGACTACTAGGCTGCAGCTAGGCAGAATAGTGGTAGGGAGGGGGAGGCGCTAGGGGTTGAGAGGCATCTGAGAGGCCACTGAGAACAGGGCCCAGGTCTGAATCACCCCCGTGTTCCCAGAGACCAGCATAAAGCCTGGCACATAGGAGGGGAAAATTGAATAGAGAGAAAGTTTGAGGACAGGTTTGAAATGAAGCTGGAGAGATACATGGAGTAGAGTTATCCAGCCCTCACCGTGGAGGCCCTGCTGAGCAGTGGGGTGCAGCCACTGAGTTCCAAGGCACAGAGTGATCTGTTGGCCTGGGGGCCTCGTGTCTCCACCAGCAGCATATCATCCTTGAGGGGCCCCAGAGAGTCTAAAAGGGGTGAGAGCCCACTCTGAATGAGACCCTACCTTGCTGGGGGCTGCCATGTGCCCCTCCATGCCTGAGCTTCACCTTCAGGAGCTAGTACTTCCAGGGTTCACCCCTATTGCAACAGCCCTGTCCCAGCCTCCTCCAGGCCCCACTCACCAGACCACAAGCATTCTTGCAGCTGAACCTTCTCCCAGCTGCTCACCTGCTTGGAAGGGACCAGGGTTAAGGGCATGAAGAAAGGCAAGAGCGAAGGCCAGAAAGACCAGAAGAGAAAGGATAGGCAAAGAGAAGACTGCTGAGTTGGGAGGTCTGCACTCTGGACCTGACCTTAGGCATATCTGGGTTTCAGGCTAGGTGATCAGGAGTCACTCCACTTTTCTCAGCCTCAGCCTTGTGAGGTCATCTGTGCTAACGGGCCTTATGACTCTAAATTAGCTAACTTTTCACATCTGACCAAACACATACATTCCCTTCTCATCTAACCACCTTCTCAAAGAGCCCTCACCTGACCAGTCCACTTGAAATTACAACCCCAATCCTCTCTTGTCCTTCCCACCTTTCCCCATAGTATTTGTATACAATTTTAACTTAGTACAAGAATTTTCTTTTTATATCTATTGTCTGCCTTTCTCCAAACATAAGCTCTATAAGAGTGGGAACATTTATTGGTTTTATTCACTGATACCTATCCCAAGTGCCTAAAACAGTGTCTGGTACATAGCAGATGCTCAATAAATCTTGAATGAATATGTTTATAATCACCTTTTGAAGTTGTAGAGCAACCAATTATACAGGTAAGGAAATAGGATAATGATAGCATAATAAAAGCATCTAACATTTGTTGAGCATTTAATCTGTGCCAGTCCCTAAGGTGAAGCACTTCTCTTATTTAATCTTCATAATCACTCTATGAAGAAGTTACTATTATCATCCCCATTAAACAAATGAGACTGACCTTCAAAGAGGTGAAGTGACCTGCCCAGGGTCCCATGCACTACTAAAGTAAATAGTGGAACTCCTAAAGAGGAAGCCCATAACCACTTTGCTCCAAGAATAAAGTGGGTCCAGAAGACAGTGCCTTGTCTGCGGTTCCGAGTGGGGTGTGCCGGGTCCTGCCCCCAAGATAGAGCTCCCACGCCCCCTTCTTACCTGGACACAAAGGTTGGGGTGGCCTTTAAGCAATGGGAAATCAAGGGCCTTCTGTGGAAAGAAGGGTATGGGTGGGTCACGAAAAGTGGCTCCCTGGGCTCCCAACTTTCTCTCTCAACTCTGGGCCCTGCCCGACGCCTCTCTTACGTTCACAGTGACATTCTCTCGGGGCAGCGGCGGAACCAGCGATTGGCAGGGGCCCCCGCCGAGTGCCTGCCAACACAGTGTGGCCTCAGCAGGCAGCGAGCACGGCGCATCCAGCCGCCAGCCCAGCGGATGCAGCAGCTGTAGGCGGGTGGCACGCCAGAGGTTGCGATATGCGCGGGGGTCTGTAGGGAGAGGGCGAGGTCACTGCTCACCCCGAACACTGCCACCTGCACCGCTCCCACCCTGGCCCCTGTGGGTCTGCTCACCCTTCCTAAAGGGGCAGATGCTCGTCCTGACAGAGTCGAGCTCCAGAGGCCACACCTGGAAAGGAAACAGGGCTCTACAGGTTAGTTCAACCCACCCAACCAGGAGCATGTGCCAGGCCCTCGACTAGGCACTCATTCATTCATTAGGGGACACATTCATTAGGCTGATATTTCACAAACACTCACTTGGTCTTTTCACCCTTCGAAGGCCCTAGAGATGCACACATTTACTCTTCCAACAAACCCTATGTCAACATCTGGCAACATCTTTACTTAACAAACTTTTAACGAGTACCTGCTATGTGTCTTAGCACCAGGGAAGGCACTAGAGATATTCAATAATTAAATCCACAATCACTTTGTGAGAACCTACTATATGCCATGTACTGTGTCCTAGGTGTTAAGGACACATTCATTTATTCTTTCAATAGACTTTTAAAATACACCTAGTATGTACTTAGCCCTGTGCTAAGTACTAGAGATAACATATTAATTTATTCAGCAAACATTTAATTAAGAGAAGCTACTAGGTTCCAGGCATTAGGTAAGGCTCTGGGGGAATTGCTAAATTTTAATTACATATTATTTCCTTGCTTTCAAGGAAATGACAAATTCATAGTTGCAGTAAGGATAAAACATGTATATAAATTAATAAAATGATAACTTATTGAACATCTGTTTATGTAAGAAGAAATGAGACAGGTGCCCAAATTAAAAACAGAGGTGATAAATGGACAAGGAAGGAAAGAAGTGCAAGGAGATGTGTAGATAGGAGAGAGCAGGAAGTTGGGGGACAGCTTTTGGAAAAGAAATGGGGGCATATCAGGTAGCGGAAACTACCTAAGCAAAAGCGCAGAAGTGGGCATATCTTGATAAGTAGCTCCATCTGGATTGAACAAAATTCCCATTAAGGGGAATTATGGGAAACACATAGTGGAAAAGGCTTAGTCAGGGGTCAGAATATAGGGCCCAGAATGTCAGGGAAGCTCTGGGAAACGAGGTCGGGCGAGAACTTATTGAAACAGTCTAGAAGAGATGATAGAAGCCCAAACTGGGCTGTTTTGGAGAGAGAGAAAAACAATGAGAGACATTAATGTGATGACAAATTAAATGTGTAATCAGAGGGAGAGGAAAGAGCCAAAATTTAAGACTAGATGTGGCACACTTCCTTATAACAGTCCTATGAAGCTGCTACTGTTATTCTTCCTATTTTACAGATAGGAAAGAGGCTCAGAGAGGTGAAGTGACTTGCCCAAGATCACACAGTTAGCAAATGGTGAGAGTCAGGTTTCAAACCAGTCTGAGTTCATAGCACATGCTCTACCCTCCAGGGGAGCACAAAGAAAGAATTGAAGAAGTAGAGGAAGGCTTCAAAGAGGTGGTGACATCTGAATGGGCAATGAAGCATAAATAGGAGTCCTGTGTATAGAGGATCAGGAAGAGCATTCGGAGCATGCAACAGTCAGAAGGCATAAGACAGCCAAGGTCAAGGAAGGGCCAGTCAAAGAGGAGAGTAGAGGATGGTGAGACCAAGATAGTGAGGGCCACCCCTCTCACCAACTCCCCAGTTCCATTCCCCTGGCACCCAGCTGGACTCTGCTCCTACCTGAATACAGAGACAGGGAACCAGGTCTGTGTGGTTCAGGGTAATGGTCTGCGGCCCTGTCTGTGGGGTGAGCAAAAAGGAGAAGTTGGAGAAGATAAGGAAGAGGGGAAGGCTGGAGGCCAAAACTGAGGAAACCAGGCAGGCAGCAGTTCCCCCACCAACGTTTCTTGCTTTGGGTGTGGGTCTCCGTGTCCTCTTCAAGAGTCCCCTTTGATAATGTATTCACATCCTTAGCATGGGCATTTGCCTAGAATGGGAATAAACTTTGGGAGGGAGAGGCCTTACCAGGTTTCTGTGCCACCAGGGTTTTGTAGGGCCCTGGACCTGGTTCCAGTACAGGGAGAGGCCAAAGTGCTGCTCCTCAGAGACTTCCAGCACCAGGTGCACATCATCACCATCTGCAGACACATTGAGCCAGGGCAGGGCTGTGGGGGAGCCAAAAAGAGAGACTTCCTTTATTTCTTCGGTATACCCAAGCCTGGGTCATACCCACTAACTGACCCTTTAGAGTTCTCTTCAAACTCCTAAGGCTGGAGGCTCCTGGACCAGAGCAGAGATTATATCCCTATCTCAGATCAGAGCATAGGGTCCCAGCAGCTAGGGACCAAGCCCATGTAGGCCCCAGTATGTTGTCTATAGACCACCCTTCTCCCCACTTCGCCCTCTGCAGCCAGAAGGATACTGTAACCACTGTAAAATAAATAATTCTCCCCTGCTCAGAGCCCTCTGACTCCCCCGCCCCATATTACTCCTAGAATAGAAGATGAAGTCCGTACAATGGCTTGCAAGGTCCAGTCTGACTTCCTGATCATTCTAATCTTATCTGTCAGGACTAATTAATTTGCTGCAGACGCACTGGCCTCATTACTAACACTGAAACACACCAGATCCACTCCTGCCTCAGACTCTTTGCACTGGCTGTTTGTTCCCAGTCAACAGAACCTTTTAGAATGAGGCCATTCCTGACAGTTGCAGCTCCCAACCTCCCTATCCCCTTTCCCTGCATTTTCTCCCTAGCACCAATCCCATTTAATTCTTGCATATTTCACATCCCCATGTGTTTATTGTGTCCTCCCTCACCCCTACCTTGACCCTGACTCTAACTTTCAGCTAGAATGTCAGTTCTTTGAGGGCACGGGTTTTTGTCAGTTTTGTTTATTGATTTATCTCCAGTACCTAGTGCTATGCCTTGGGCAGAGTAATTACTCACTAAATATTCATTGAATAAGAGAATCAATGTGTAACTGAATGGATGATGACATGGAATGCATGATGTGTATCTGTGTCCTCAAAGCTCTGGTGCTGAGTAGTCTTTAATGGATTGCCAGAGGCAGGCAGGCCAAGTTTAAGATAAAGGAAACCAAAAAGAAAATGAAGTTGAAATAATTTAAGAGTTCAAAACACAACATTGTCTTTACATCTTGATCTGCATGGTGGTTATGGCAGTGTATACATATGTAAAAATTAATGGAACTGGACATCAAAATTAATGCACTTTACACACTCTTCTGTATGTATGTTATGCCACAATAAAAAAGAAAATACAAAACAAAAAAATCTAAACAGTGCATGGGAAAAACCATCAGAACTTTGACTTTCTTAGCTCTTATTTTTTGTTTTAATATTACTTTTATTTGATACATGGAGGGTGAACCATAATCTTGACAATGCTTTGGGCCTCTAGACGTATTTGTTATAGGGAGTAAGAGATTCACCTTTACATTCCCAGTGCCTGGTACAAAGTAGGAGCTATTGCGGATCATATATGATGAATGAATGAATGAATGAATGAATGCACGCATGCATGAAGTCTGTGAGCTTCCGGAATGCGGCAGCCCAGACCTGAAGCCAACTTCAAGGGTTCCTCATATTCCAGACCCTGGCCCTCCCTCTTCCCAGCACCACTGGCCCTAGCCCCTACCCCAGCAGCTCTGGATGCTGTCCCGGACTTCAAGCCCCCTGCAGTCTGGGGAGAGATCACAGAAGAGCCTCTGATGGGGCTGAGGACCCATCAGAGGACCCAAGGAAAGAAAAGGGACAACCCAACTCATGGGGATCCCTTGAAAGGGCTCCCTGTCCCCTAAATACCACCCACATCTATCAGTGCCCAAAACACCTTCTCCAGAGGCAGGAAAGCCGTCACCTGGAGAGAGGAGACATGAGAGACTGACTCTGGGGAGAATGAGAGGCCACGCCACTGCCTGAGGGTAGATAGGACTAGAAAGGGGATGAAAGCAGAAGAGGTGTGGCTGTAGGGAAGAGAGATTAGAGAGGCCAGGATTTGGGGCCTCTGAGACTCTGGGGCCACTTACCAGGCAGCTGCTGTGTGAAATTGAGTTCCTTCTTGTACCTGGGCTGAGTGTATGACCAGATTCGCACCTCAGCCCCCAGAGCAGCCTCGAAGCAGTCAAATACTACAGAGCCCTGTGAGGAGAGGGGTGGCAGAAGGCTGGTGGTATAGGGCTCAGAATCCAGGCCAAGGGCTGTGGGCTCCTCTGCATGGACTACTCACTCCCTCCTCTCTTGCCCAGCTGATGACTATATTCATACTATCTGGCCTGAAATTCTGCCATTGAAATTTCCCCACAAGGGCCCCCAATTCTAAAGTACACACCCTCCATAGGGTGTCAGCAAGACAGGGATAAGGGCGCAAGCTACCTGAGTCCTTGCCCCAACTCTGGCTGTCCTGGATCACATGTCCAAAGCTAAGATGATCAGACACCCCTCCCCACAGAAGTGGTTTTCACACCCTGTGCTTCAGTGGTCCTCACGATTGCTCTGTGAGGTGGGCCAACAGATGTTATCTCACTCTACAATTTTTCAGATCAGAGGATATTGGCTGGGGGCTGGGGGCAGGAAGGGAAATCAAAAGGTTACAGTGATTTGGCCCAAGTGAAGATACACCTCTCAACCACGTGTGACCTCCTGAGGTAGCCCCAGCACCCTGCACGACGGCATACACATCAGGCAGTCATGGTATGGCAGGAAGTCCAGAGGATCCAGCCCACAGATTCTCCCTCTCCAAGTCTCAGTTTCTCTATATGGAAGATGAGGGTAATAATAATGCCTACTTCATGACATTATCACCTCATTTAATTCTCACAACATCCATATAATGTAGGACTATTCCTAACCCTACTTTACAGAGGAAAACTGAGGCATAAAGCGCTGAAAGGACTTGCCCACAGCCCTGATCAGAGTTAGAACTTAAAGAAATAATGAACGTGAAAGCACTTTATAGATTTCATATTTAGAAGGTGATTGTTATTGTTATTATTTTGCATACCACAGACTGACCAGGCTGCACAAGGGCAGCAGGTACTTGCACCTCCAGCAGGACACAGCGGGCTGTAGGGTAGGCCTGGAAGGAGAGCACGACTTGGGCCTGGAGAGAAGCTGTGAGCAACAGGGCAGAGGGTTGGTCAGACCCAGGGGCCACAGGCAAAGCTCTGGTGAGGGGCAGTTGGGCCCACCAGGTTCCCCTCACCATTCCTAGGCTCCTCAAACTCTAGGTCAGCTGCTCTTCCAAATCGTTCCTCATCTTCAGGCTTTTCCCAGTGCCCTGGAAGTACCCAAGAATAAGGACCATGTCAGGCCCCTTGCTCTGGGCTTCCTTCCAGAAAGTGCAGTTTGGGGCCTGGGGTGGTGGATGGCGTGACTCCCAATCATCATGCCCATCCCAGACACATTCACATGTGCACATGGATGACATGCTCACCATGCACAGTCAAGTGGATGACCACACGCACACAGAGTTCACAGTCAGTCTCCTGATGGCACCTCAGCACTAGCTCTGTCTGCAGGTGTGTGGGCACCAGCACAGGTTCTGGGGCAGACACGATACTCCCAGGGAGGCAGAGCACGTCACCATCTGTGCATGAAGGGCAGGGTGGAGTTGAAGCTGTTTTGAACCCAGAATTTGATTGCACCTGACACCCGCAAAGGGCCAAGGAACTTTAGGCTCTTCTTGGGCTGACGGTGGACCATGAAGGCATGGGACTGGGCCAGTTCCTTTCCCTTCTACCAACCTGGGAAGTTCTTTTCTCTCTAAAAGTAGAGCTACTCACCCCAGAGGTGGCAGGAGAGGCCCTGGGAAGGAGGTAAAGAAGAATCAGAGTTTATGCTCCCAAATCTAACCATCTTTCCCTGCCCGCAATCCCTGCTTACCTCCTTTCAGGGCTCCCTATTCCTAGACCCTCCCAGAAGGAGATAGACCCAGCTGTTGCCCCCTCCCCATTCTTCCCTTACCCCATCAGTACCAGAAAGACCAGCCAGGGCAGTTCCGATGGTAGTGGCAGTGACAGGAGCCAGGCTAGGGCCCTAATGGGCCCCAGACTGAACTCTGAGCCTTCCCCAACCTCCCTGGGGCCCCAGACTCACCGGAGAGCAGTGAACAGCATCCTGAGGCCCCGCGAGTCTCTCCAGAGAGAGGACTACGGGGCTTCGACCAAGTGCCAAGGACAGCAGGAACCAGGGCACAGGCATCTTCCAGGTGGTAGACAGCACCCAGGTCGGAGGCCCTGTCCTGCCCCCCCAAATGGGGGGGCAGACACCTCACCTCTGCTCTCACTCAGCCCCGTGCCTTTGGGCAGGAGGAGCGAGAATCTCTCTCCAGCCTCCAGGGTCCCAGCTCTGGCTAGCTTGTGTACTGTCTCTCCTGGAAGTTCTGATTCCAGGCTCAATCCTAGCCAGAGTGCTTTCGTTTCTGGTTTGGCTCTCGGCAGGCAGCCAGCTGTCCCGCCCCACCCTGTCCCTCCCACTAGAGCCAGGCCTGGGAGCCAGCCAGCAGCCTTGGACTAGGGCGGTAGCCTCCTCTCCTTTTTTCCCTCCTTTCCTCCTCCTCCTCCACTGCTGACACCTGGCTGGGCCCGCCTCTGGAGAGGGCAGCAGCAGACTCATGGCTGAGTAAGGAAGCTCTTACTCACCCCAGCAGTCCCTAAGGAGGGCCTGGGCAATCCTAGGGCATTTTTGCTTCCCACGTGACTCTGAGTTCCTAGGGCCCACTGGGACTTCTCTTACTGGGCACCCCAGGTCCCTTCACACACAGACTCCCTGGGCCTCAGTGACCCTTTGTGGGTCAGGAGCTCTAAAGGCAGGGTTAAAGGATACCATGTAGTAGGCTTTTCACCACTTCCTGGCATGTGCTTAAGTGTGGTGGGAGTTGAGGAAGGAACATAGGACCCAGAGCCAGGCAGACAAGGATCCCATTTGTGCTTTTGCCATGGGCCGGCTGTGTGCTTAAGGACACACATCATTTTTTTGAACCTGTTTCTTCCCCTCTTCTCAGTGAAGAATCGCAGTGAGGATCAAGATTTCCAGGTCCTCCTTTGCATGAAGGATGGGGTGTGGGTGTGGACATGGAGGATTTGGGCTATAAATTGATGGATAACAACCCCAGGCAGGGTTGCGCAGACACTTCCCCCAACTCAGTATCCTGGACACACTAGAGACACACTTGTTTTTTAATTTATCCATCATATTTGCCTTTATTCATCTTTCTCCATCTTGGTCTCTACTGTCCCGCCTTTGCCCTGGCCACCCAGGGCCAAAGCCATTTTCCTTGAGTCCAGAATCCTCCCTCCCTCCCCATCTGGGCAAGGCCTGGGTTTGGGAAAGGGGGTTCCTTGGCCTCCAAGGGAGTTTTCTCCCACTTCCCTGGAATCACCCCGCTTCGGAACTGCCATAGCTCCTTCCTTTCCTACCCCTGTCCCAAACTCTCCAGCATGTGCAGACTACTCTCTGGAATTTTGGTGAGAGGAAGGTGGAAGATCCCTCTCCCCACAACAGGACTGCGGTTAGAGGAGCTCTCAGTAAAGAGATACTCTTTCTGGGGGTTCTGCGAGGCAGAGAAGCATCAAGAAGAAGCCAGACGGACACACATGTGGAGGATCTGGTAGTGAGTCAAGTGTTCTGGTCCTTGCCTGGGAGGCAGGGAATGAGGCTTTCCAGGCAGTAGTCCTCAGGAGGCACCCCGAAGATTTCAGGGTAGAAGCCTCTTTCTGGGGTGCCAGCCAGTGCCCCTACACTTGCGGCTAAGACATCTGGATTGTGGAGGAGCTCTGCTCAGTCTTGATGGGCAAGTTTGGCTGCCTGGAGTTCCAGCCTGTGACACAGCTCCAAACGACTGCGCAGGCAACGCCGAGCGCTGAGGCGGCCCCAGCCGGTAGCTTTGGTGGAAGGTCTCGCGTCCAGAGCCCTCAGCAAGCGAGGCAGGTCGCGCAGCAGACGGTAGCGCGGCAGGGCGCGCAGCGGCGGGGGAATGTCGCCTTTGGCGCAGAGGTGACTGAAGTAAGCGAGCAGCAGAAGCGGCCGCGGGGCGGCGCGGAGCAGAGTACGCAGGGGCGCAGCGCGGGAGTCGGGGTCGCGGGGAGGGCTGGGGCCGGCACTGCTCCACAGCAGCAACACGGTGCCCCGCTCCCTAGCCACGCGCGCCCGCGCCGCCCACAGCCAGGGCAGCGGCCCCATGCGCGCCACGCGCGTCCCCTCCCACAGGTCTACGATCACGTCGCGCCCGCCGCCCAGCGCGGCCCGCAGCAGTTCAGCCAGCGCCCCCACCAGGCGCCGCTGCTCCTCCGAGTCTGCCGCGTGCAGGAGCAGCACCGGCCGAGCTCCGCCAGGGCCTGGGGGCGGAAGCAACAGATTAACAGGGGCCCAGTTAAGGGACAGCTCATCCCACTCCTCCTCAGCCTCGGCGGTAGGGGGGCTACATCATAGGGTGTCCCCTCCCAGTTCCTTATCTGCACTGGGGGTGGGTACCTAAGGCAGCTTTAGTCTATGGGGTGCCGGTAGGCTAATTAGATAAAAGTGCCCCAGAAGGGGCAAGGGCTAGGGCACCAGGCTTGGCAGGTGCAGAGCAAGCTGGATTTACTCTCCACTCGCCTCTTGCCTAGAGACTTGGTATAGTGAACCACCTGGCACAGAGGGACCTTTGCCCTGCCTTAACCATTCCTGCCCACTAGGGGATCTGAGGCTCACCCCCTAGAGTAACAGAGAGCTGGATGCCCTGACAGGGACATGGCTCTTGGCGAAGGGAGCCAGGGCAGGGAAAGGGTAAGGACAACTAGCCTAGGAGCTGGGCAGGTCTAAATCCCCAGGTTACTTTTGAGTGAGTTTACCTGACAGTGGGCGCCGGCGGGTGACGACCAGAACAACGCCCAAGAAGGTAGTGAGAACCAGTAGTGCCAGGATCAAGAGTCCCAGGTGTCTATGAGACACTGAGTCAAGCAGGATGAGGCCAAGCTGAGCTACTCAGTGCCCAACCTCCCTCCTACCCTTATCCTGAAGAACTCACCATCTGGACACAAGAGGTGCTTCCAGGCAAACTGGACATCTGACCTCCACACCTGAGGGCACAGAGTCCCCCCATCCCATGAGCCAGGGTAGTACCTTCTCCAGGGGAAGTTGAATGAGACATGAGGATGGAGAAAGGGAGGCCCCCTAAATAGCGAATTCCTCCTGCACCCAACAGGTGAAGAGTTGCAAACCCAGAGTGAACTCAAAGTTGGCTAGAGTATCCATGAGGACCTAAAGGGCACAGGCCCTGAAGTAATCAGACACCACTGAGCTCCAGCCAGTTGTCACCAGGCCTGAGGGTAGACACAGAGCATCAGGTTTTCTGACTTTTTCAAGAGAAGCCAGAAATCAGCTTTTTAAAATACCACATCTCCCAATATTTAAATGGTGGCAACAAATTCCAATTTCAAACACCATGCTGGCCAAATAAAACATTTTTGCAGACTAGATTTGCCCAATGTGCCACCTGTGGAGTAGATGCTGGGGGAGTAAGTGGGGGGGTGGGGCGGGAGGAAGGCAGGATTCCTTACCAAGACACAGCCCCCTGGCCTCAGGAAGGGAATGATGAGGTCTAGTGTCACTGGGCTTGAGCCCCGAGTCTGTTGGAAAAAAGATCAAAATGACTGTTCCCATAGAGGCAAATTTGGCTCTGTCCAGCCTCTCTGAGCCTTTGCCCGTGCTGCTCCTCCTTTCTACCCACCCCCACCCTCACCCAAATCCTCTCCAAAGCCACCCCTGAAAAGAAGCCTTCCCTAGCTTCATTCCCAGATCCCACGATCATTCCCAGATCAGATCTGCTGCACAGATACACATTATTCAGGCAATTGGGCACTCATCAACAGACATACCCTGGATGCCAACTCCATGCCAAGCCCTGAGGAAAGAAATCAGCCACAGATGTCTTCTAGCATCTCACAAAACAGGGAGGCTAATAATATGCTGCCCCCAACCCTGTCCTGCACACCTGAAAGAGCAGGCTAACCATTGGAAGGAACATAAATTATAGATTCAGGAGACCACAGTTATTGAAATAAGGCTTAACTCTTGTCTTTGTGGTTCCTAGCTGTGTGATTTTTGCAGGGAGATAGGTTACCTCCCACCCTGAGCCTCAGTTTCTTCCTTTGTCTGTGAAGGGTAATAATCCTTGTTTTACTGGGTTATTGAGAGTATCACATGAGAATATGCATGTGAACACTCTTTATAATACATAGTGCAGAGTTTATTCATGGAGTAGTAGCAGCTATTATTATGTTGTAGACTCCTAGGGGCAGAGACTCTGTTATATACTTTTCTTATAGCTCCCAGGGCCTAAGACAGGGTAGGCACAGAGTAGGCACTCAATAACTGCATGTTGAATTGGACATAATTGATTGCCATCTGTCTACAGTTAGGATGTGGCTCTGCCCTATGCTCTGGGTTCTAGGTAGGGAGCTGATCAGAATCTCCACCCTTTGGGAACACCCCACCTGATCCAGATCCCATTCTCCAGTCAGCTGTGAGCCAAGTGCTGATGTGGTGGCTCTCAAATCATGGCTGAATTCAGTGAAGGCAGTCTTTTCCCAGATCACAAAAACAAATAAGTCTGTGGATTTAACTCTCAATTTTAGGTTTTCCCACATGACTTTGTCTTAAATCTTTACATGGTTTGGTCTTAAATCTTGAGCATTTGCTACCATCTGTCTGCTTGGGAGCTCTCAGAGAATACAAAACAGACAAGCAAGCTGCAAGTGAGCATTTAAGAGAGAACTGGGAGGAGCTTGTCATGCTTAGTCAGCTTGGGACTGTGGTTTTGCAGATATATTTGATTGCGGTTTTTATATCAGATACACAGAAGAGAGTCTGCTAGTCAAACTGTTCTTAGTTCACATAGTAAAGTTAAATCTGTCAGTAGTTTACAATATTCTGCAAAGAGCACATCAGCTTCTGGGGGCTCTGTTTCCCAAGATTTTAGATTGGGAGATAGTGACAGAAATTCTACCAGCTGCCTGTGGGAGGCAGGCAGGAGCATGGTGGTAGAAGACAGCTGGGTTCAAGAGAGCATCAGTACAAAATGTGGCAGCAGTTTGAGTGGGCCAGAAAACAGCTGGATATTGGAAAGCCAGTCTTGCCTCTGTTTATCTTTGTAAGTTCAGAAACTGAAAAGATTAGACACTGCTTCTTGGAAGACCCTACTGATCAGCCAAACAAAGGCTGATCAAGTAAATAAATAACCAGATGACAAATTAGGGATGTGCTTGATTCCTCCACTTGTTGTGCTCTGAGCCATGAACCTAGTGGGGGTCAAATCCTCGCTAGGCCATACCTGGCTAATGCTGTACACAGGGGGCACCAGGCTGTCTTGGCCCAAGCCTGGGTGGCTCCAGGCAGCACTGAATGTGGCATGCATCCTTGTGGAGAAGTGAAGAATCAGCTGTTGGGCCTGAGTGTCCATGCTCACGTTCCAGGATGGGGCTGCCAGGGAGCGGGAAAAAAGGGTGTCATATGAGAGACCCAGTTTGCAGGAGGTGATAGGAGCTGGGCTGCAGTTGACAGAGAAGTCAGGGCAAGACTAGAGTTTGGCTTTGTCACAGTTAGGTGAGGGTGAAATGGTGGGAGGGGTTCCCAGCCAGGGTCACTTATTGGCTCACCAGTCCGGTGGGGACATTCGACATGGCTGCTGTTTCCAAAAGAGAACTGAGAAATCCAAGAATGGCAGGTCAGCAAACTCTAGGCATCATCCATAGCCCTACCCATCCCCTCTCACCCACACTTATACCTTGAAGCAAAGCTGGGGGTGCAAGTCCACTTTCTCCAAAACATACCACTGTGGTGGGAGAAGGGAGTTGGTCAGGGCCCTGGGCCCCAGTCCTGCCCACCCATGTCCTAGGGAGGCCTGTCTCACCCCATCTGATTCTTGAGCCGTGGCATTGGGGAGGTCTTCGCAGAGGGTGTGCCAGCCCTGCCTCTGGCAGAGGGAGGCCTCCAGCTTCAGTGGGCAGCGGAGTGTCAGGGCCATGACCATCTGACTGTGCTGGCTGTAGTCAGTAAAGTTCACTGACTTCCAGAAGTCGGAGCCATCTGGGCAGGCAGCAGGGGTAAAGAGTGAGGCCTAGGAAGACCTGAACTTCGCTTTGGCCTCATTTTGCCAACCCTATCCCCAGGGCATCAGGAGACAATGTTTGTGAAAGTGCCCGGCACAGTTCCTGTCCTATCTAGGAACCCAAAACATGAGCACGCCTTCTCCATCCCGCTTTTATTACCTTTTCTATTTAGCTGTCTCCTCTCCTTCCTGCACCTCCATTCTAGCTAGCTCTTTGCTGCTCCTCAAACTCGAAATCATTACATCTTAGCTTAGGTTCCTTTCAGAACTAGGAATGCCTTCCTCTCCCTTCTCTCCTTTCTAAATCCTGCTCATTTTCTGAGTACAGGTCAGGGTCACCTCCTCTAAGAGACCTTTTCTTGCTAGTGACCACCTTCACTGGCTTTTCCTTTGCCTGAGTTCACGCCCCACAGCCTCATGTGCAACCCTGCCCTGGAATGTAGGATGGGCTTTTCCTTTGCCTGAGTTCACGCCCCACAGCCTAGTCCTCATGTGCAACCCTGCCCTGGAATGTAGGATACTTTGTGCTATTCATTTGTCATGTCTGAGTGTCCTGTCTCTTCAGCTTGGAGACAACAATGTGCGTATAGCACTTCACACGTCACCAACCACTTTCATTTATCATATTGGATTCAAGCCTCTTCAACAATTGGAAAGTAAGGCAGGGCAAGTATCATTATTTTACAGATGAGGAACCTGGGAACCTGAGGCACAGAGAAGAATGAGTGGCAGAGCTGGGATCTGAGTGAGCCCAGCTCTTCTGGTTCATCCCCAGGACACTACCTCCTGTGTCTCACATTTCTGAACCACCCACAGTGTCTAGTATAATATTAGATAATCTCATTTATTGGAAGGCTGATCTGTAGACATTGTAGCCCTTTCCCCACTCTGACTCTAGGGAAAGTGCCTGCATGCCTTCTGGTGGCTTCCTCCAACACAGGTGTGAAATGTGTGAGTGGGGTATGTGTATATGTGTGGAAGACAGAGAGATTGCGCATGCACAAGAGTGCATTTAGCAGCACTCACAGGCTTCAGGCCAGCTCTGGAAGGGACATTTTTTGCGCCTCACAGTGTCCTCTTGCAGGTAGGATGCCTGGGGGAACAGGGGAACAAGCAGGGAAGGTCAGAGGAAGGACTTTTCCTACAGCACTCAGACCTAAAATTCATTCTGACTTGACCTTGCCCTGGTACAAACTGCCTGAGCTGGCAGGGTACTGAGGACAGGGAGCAGTGCAAGGTGTCAGCAAGTGTAGGTGGTGCTGGACACTGGGGGAAGAACTCCGGAGTATGGGAGTGAAAACAGTTAGTGAGGGGATGAGTTCTTTTCTCCCTGGAGAGGAGAACCTATTGCCAGAAAGAGGCAGATTGTGAGGTCCACCTTCCTCAACTTTTGGCTGCCTTGGATTCCATTCTCAGTGGTTCCCAAGGTATCTTGTGCCCTGTGTAGGCTCCTCCTTCTAGGCTGCCCAAACTTTACCCAACAAAGTTGTCCAACCTGGCAGGTGCTTGGTGCTCTAAGTCTCTGCTTACACCCTCCCTTTGGTTTCCTTCTGGGTGACAAGGCCCCTTGCCTTTTCTGTCTAGTCCAAAGGGGTCTTAGTGCTAGGCACTTCAGAATTATGAAGAGGAGGAGGACTGCAATGAAGGGTTAGTGGGGACAAGACTTTTGGGGCCATATGGAACCTTTCAATGGCCATGTGCTCCCACTGTTCCTGCTAAGAACACATAGTGACAGCAGCTGTCTATTCCTCCTCTGCGGGCCGATGCCAGGTCTGGACCAAGGAAACCTGGGTTTGGGTGGGGCTGAGGTTGGAATCACCCCGAAAGAATATCCCATGTTCAGCAAGACACTGCCATCTCTGACCCAGTGTATGGCTCACAGTCAAGCTGACACCAGTCTTCCCTAGCACCTATTAACACCTAGTCCTTTTAAAATGTAGATAGGTTACTGAAGATAAGTTTGACCAACTGTGCTATATGGGGGCCTCAGAGCAGGGCCATGGACAACCCACACCTTTACCTCTGCTCACCTCTATGCACAGACAGGGCAGAAGGAATTCATAAAGCAGGTCTACGGTGTGGCCCCAAGACACAATTTTCTGTTAATGAAGCAACAAAGAGAGAGAAGAGATGCCTGAGAAAGAGCATAGACACCCTGGACAACAACAGGAGGAAGCTGGGAACTTGGCCAACACCCCCTTTTTCTTATATGAGACTTAATTCTTCCACCAAAAAATTTCCTCCCAAGGGGTCTCTGTTCTGTACACTGACCATTTTCTCTAGGCATCTCAATATATAGAGTAGGGGGAGGAAGGAGGAGACGGGGAAAAGAATATACATTTAATGAGCCCCGCTGTATGCCGGGAAGGTTGCTAGGCGCTAAAGCAGTAACTTAATTAAATGCTAGCATCAAAGAGATCTTGGGAGGCATCATCACCATTTTATAAATGAAGAGGGGTGAGGGCCTGAGGAGTGTAACATCAGTCCCTGCAAATGATACCAGCTGTACACAAGGGCCTCCTTGAAATCTGGAGTTGAGGTGAGGTGTCAAGAGGCCTGGGGGACATCTCATTCTCTGAGGGGCAGCAACAAAGGGAGGAAAATGGAAAGATGTGACCACTTTGTTATTTTCTTAAGGAAAACAACTTCTTGAAGAAACTGCAAAGACTTCTTAAGGTAACGTGAAACTCACAGAGGGTCATCTCATTGGGAGTAAATACCATATTCATTTCTCTGCTAGTCATTCAAGGTTGCTCCATCCCTTTTCCTTTCCTCAGCTCCCAGGTGACAAGCCCCCTGCATTTTCTGTCTAGTCCAAAGAAGTCTTAATGCTAGGCACTTCAGACTTGTGGGTCTTGAAGAATTATCTTTGCTCTCTGGACCTCAGTCTTCTTGTATGTACAATGGGTAGGCCGTTATGTTGCAGCACAGTGTGGTCTGGCTTTTTACAGGGAAATGGCACTCCATACCTGAGCATCAAAGGGACTGCTCAGCTCTTCACACTCTAATGCCCACTGGTGACAAAGACGCACGCTGACCTCAGGGCCTGGGGGAATGCTCACTCGAATGGCCCGTGCCTCAGGCAGCAAGTCAAAGGAGAACTCGGGCCCTGGGAAGAAGGGGGACTTGGTGGCCTTGTCTCTTGGCCTTAGCAAAGACACCACTGTTTGACTGCATCCTTCTCTAGTCACACCCCATGGCTAGCTCACCCCTTTGTGAGCTCTGTCTCAGAAGGCTTTTCACTGTCACTGGATCCAAAAAATGGGTCCTTTTGGAGCGCAGCCCCTTGTGGGAGATGTCTGGGGAGGCGACGGAGATGTGATGGCCCTTCTCAGATAGGCAACAGCTACTCAGCACTTTCCTCTGTAAGTAGAGAGCAAGGTTGGACTGAGGTCAGGAATCATGATCCCTGGCTTCTATTTCTTCCTCTGGAACCTGGGGCACAGAGGCAAGTTGATCAACCTTTAGGCCTCAGTTTCTCTAACTGTATAATGGGCAGAATAGTCTATTTTATCTTCACACCTCCTATCCCTCTCATGTGGCTGGAGAATAAAATGAGAGGCCAGAAAGTAAAGGGCTGTGAGGCTTAGGGCAGAGCTGGAACTGACAGAGAGAGTACCTGAGCAGATGCTGGCATCTTGTGTCTCCTACAGAACTGGAACATGTAAAACTTTTTGGATTTCTGCACCAGGCAGTGGAAACAGCCCCACTGAAAGCCTGTGCAGGAAAAGACGTTTAATATTCAGTCCTTCAGTGCCCCTCCTCTCCCTGGAGATGTGGCCCAATGTTGGATCCTAAGTCATTTTAGATCAAGGAAGGTAATGAAATCAAAACTTTGGTCATGAAAGTTATGACACAATCAAAAAAGAAGTAGTTTCTTAAGTATGAAAATGTTCATTGTAGCGTATTTATAACAGTGAAAAATTACAAACTGCAGATTCTTAAGCAGGGTATGGGCATTTAGTATGTATCAGGCGCTGAGCTCGGCAATGAAAACATAGAGTTGAATAAGAACAATCTTACTTTTAAAATGGAAGGTAATAACAATAAATAGAACTACAACATTTTAATTGCAAGAATTGGTACCAGCTGAAAGGAGAAACACCTTCACAAAATGATACAAACGAACTCACTAATATCAGTCATGGTGTGCTATTTTAGGATGACCTTAGTCTCTGCTGAGGTGGACAACAGGACAAACAGGTTCTAGTATGATAAGTCCCATTTGCCTCAACCTGCCTCCCCCACCCCAACATGCCTCCCCCACCCCAACATGCCCCTAATTCACATACCCACTGAGAATGGCCCAAGGGCTATTTCTCATACCTGAAGGAGCTGACACCAGGCGCAGGTACAAACAGTAGGGGCAGTGCCAGAGCGGAGCACACCAAGACTTTGGGGAGGTGGGGAGGGCCAACCGGGTATGGCAAAGAATATGAGCAGAACTTCCTGCGAAAGATGAACAGGAAATCAAGTGGTAGGGTCCAAGGAGGTCCCTCCTGCTTCAGACAAGATGGACTTGAGGCTGAGCTCTGCCACTTAATCCTGGCCGTGTGACCTTAGGTAAGTTATGGACCTCTCTAAGACTCAACTTCCTCATTCATAAAGTGGGGTTATTATCATGATCAAGTAAATGAGATAATGTATGGGAAAATATGAAGGTCATTGTATTACTGACAGTTAAGGGGGAGTGCCTGGAGGTTTCCACATGTTTCTCATTTAATCCTCCCCACAGCTCAGGGACAACAGTCTTCATTGTATAGTCATTTCTACTACGCTGATAGACCCCTCAGAAACTGAGGATCACAGGGCTTAAGTGCACTGCCTGCAGCCACAAGTGAAATGTGTGGCAGAATTGTAATGCAAATCCATGCTTGCCCTAATTGTAAACCCTGTGCTTTTTCCTCGATACTATGCTACTTTCCAGGCTGGGAACCAAAAATTAGAATGGAAGGCTTGCTGGGGATCTAGAATAAAAGGGATGTGAGGAAGAGGAGCAGGACAGAGAATGAGACTTACCAGTGAAACTGTCATCCTGAAGAAGGCACAGGGCCCAATAGGGTAACAAAAGGAGAGAAGTATAATTAGTAGGGATTCTCATAAAGAGCACTCTCCCTGGGGTCTTTGCCTCAAATCACCTAATTCTGAGGCCCAGAAGCTAGGCCCTTGGCTACCACCCCTCCAAGACTGTGTAGAGGACACAGCGATGCTGCCACCAGAGCACAGGGACTTGAAGAGATAGGAAAGCGTAGGCAGGAGAGTGGGGAGCTTTGCCAGCCTGTGCCAGGCAGATGTTCCTACCCTGGCACCTTACCATGTGGGAGGCCAGCAGACAGCGGGTGTTCCAGCGGGGCAGACAGGGGCAGCCAATCCCAGAGGAAGCAGAGAGGCCAATGAACAGCAGGCAGAGAGGCAGGAGCAGGGCTGCCTGTCTGGGGCTCCCCATGGGCTTCTGTGCGGTCAAGGCACCCAGAGCATGGCTGCACAGCCCGAAGATGGGCGGCAAGGCTTTGCTGTGCAGCAGCAGGGAACACAATGCCAGCAGGAGCCCTCGTCTCAGCCTGCCCCTGCCCCTGCCCCTGCCCCGCCCAGCCCCAAAGCTCCTCCTCAATCCTAACCAGCAGGCCAGACCACATTCCTTCTCCTCCAAGCAGAGGTTCTGAAGGATGCTTGTCCCCTGTAAAACCTTACTGCCCCCAACTGGAGCACAAGGGGCTCCTGCTCTGGCAGAGAAATAACAGGAAAGAAGGCAGCACAGGGTTAGGGGGACGGCCGGCTGCACCCATTTCTTAACCCTCCTACTCCTGCAACACCCTCTAGATCTGACCCGCCTGCCCATTAACATGACGATTTTGGACTTGGATCTCCCCTGGACACATGCTTCATTGCCTCACTTAGAGAATTCATAGAGCTATTAGGCACTACTTGTATTAAGTGATAGAGACAGAGGTGACCGAGGTACCTAGAACAACAAGAAAGCACTATAAGAAGCAGATAAGCCTCACATGCCCCCATAAGCCTCTTGGCTCTCCACCCGGCTAACTCTCAGGACTATAGTCCAGCTTTCTCTCTCTACCTATTGGCCAGTTCCAGCTTTTCTGGGCACAGGAGTCCATGCCAAAGGGGTCTATTGGCTTCAAGGATCCATTAATCAGAACGGTCTGCTCAGAAAACCCCAGAGCTCATAGCAGAACCCGGGAGCTGAGGGAGCGGGCCCCATGCACTGACCTGGTTTCCTGTGGTTTCCGATGATGCTGACGAGGCTCCAGTCTTTGTGGGGACCCTCCCCATCATCCCACAGCTTCCTCCTGCTCATGGAGCATCTGATCTGCTTCAGCCTTCACCTTGGTGACACATACAATGGAAAGAAAGTTTGGGGCACGCCTACTGAGTTAAGGCATCTTGAAATTGTTATTGTCCCTCTGCACCTTTCAGTAGCCTGACCATGGCCTTCTTTTGTCAATTCTAGTTTCTAAGTCTTCAAGTCCACTGTCTGAAGATCACATCCTACCCATTATCCTAAAACTACTCTCTAGCTTTTGAATTCCTTAGAAGATAATGACTCCTTATATTTTATGTTTCTCCAATGTCTAGGAGGGGATATCATGAAATAGGTGCTCTGTAATTGTATAAATGTCAATTATGATACATTTCATCCATGTATTAGTTTACCTGTTTCATATTTCACAAAGTACTTTCATATTTGATCCTCCTAACCACCTTGTAAGACAGGTGGGAATTATTGTTTTCATTTCATAAAGAGAAATAAGCAGAAAGGAAGATGATTCAGTCAAAGTTAAAGTCTCCAGCTTAGGGAGCTCCACTTCTGCAAGCCTGTCACACTTCAATTCTCTCATGGTCTCTACTTCTACTGCCTCCTCTCTCTCTTTTGGAACCCCAAAGGGTCTGCCTGACACAGTTCTGTCTTTCGGCATTGGAGTCCACCACTGCAAACAAAGCAGTAAGATATGAAGGAAGAAAAGGGTGGTCTGGTTGTACTGAGGATAGGTTAGGGAGTCTTCAGTGATTTAAATCTACACTCATTTTCCAATGCTGGGGGCGTGAAGTGAGAAACTTGATTCTGTTCTAGAATATTTCTTTCTTGACCCCTTATATCTTCTGATCTAATAGTAAAAATATTTGATTAATTTCTCCCTGCCCCTGGCTAAGATATGGTAGGAGAAGCAGAAAAATATAAATGGAGACACATACATACACGCAAAAGAAAAAAAGAAAAGAAAAACAGAAAAAGAGCACATAGAAAAGAAATAAAGATGAAAAAGAAAAGAAGAGAGAAGAGGAGGTCTGTGTTTTATTCATTGTCTTGCTGGTTTGCTTATTTATTGTGAAGCCTTTTTCAAAAGGATTTAAGGTAAAAGGCACAGTTGACGAATTCTAGCATACCCTGGGGAAGGGGAGGGGATCCAATCAACATTTGTGAAACTCCTACTATCAGGCTCTGGGCCCCATGTTTTGCCTACATTATCTCATTTTATTAGTACTACTACCCTTGAGGTCAGTCTTATTAGACCATTTTACAGACTAGGCAACAATAGGAAAATTAAGTAACTTGTTCAAACACAAAAATGAAGAGCTGGGACTCACTACCATGCCTTTCAGGCCCTTTCTGCCAGAACACACTGCTTGGGGAGAACTGTGGGATGTGAGAGGGTTTTGAGGCCCTGTAATCCACAGAAGTACTAGATTTAGCAGTGTGATGTAGTTGGGTTAGCAATGTGGAGGAAATAGGAATAGTTGGAAAGAACGAAGTAGATCTTTATAATAGTTTGTTATCAGTGGTCAGACTTCTAGGAAAGTAGGAATTGTTTGGCTAATGTCAACAAGGGAGGAGTAACTCTTTGACTGGAATAGGTAGCCAACTGGAGTAAAAGCAACAAAAGTGTGTAGTAGGCCTGCAGCACAGAGGTCTTGTCCTGGATGGAAGGTGGCTGAGGCCTGTCTCACCTTAGGTTTGTGTCTGAATGAGCTGACTTAGGCTTCATATTCTAATAACCTTGTTCTAATAATCTTTACTTGATGACTATGCCAGAAGTTCAAGAGGTCTTGGCAGATCCCTGTGCATGTTTAGGTACAGGGTACACTGTAGGGGGCCTTAGGCAGCCATTTTTCTTGACAGAGCTTTACCCATGCATGGACTCTGGTCAGACCATACAGCAGCATCTTCAGTCTCTTCCTGTAATGGCAATTCCTAGAGTCTGTTGGGGCAACTGTGCCTACTGGATAGGAAGGTCCAATTAGACCAATGCACACCAAGAGTGGACAAATGTCCTTTCCTCCCCTCTGCTCTTCCTGAAGAGATCGACCTCCAGAATTCTGAGGCAAGAAATCACACCTAAGAGAAGCAGCAGGAACACCCAATCTGGCAGGGGAAAGCCAACATTGCTTATCAAGGGAAGAGATTGTGATATTTATTAAGCACCTACTATATACAAGACTATTCATATATATTATTATTATATTTCATATATTTTTTTTATATTTATATATAGATATACATATATATGTTGTGATATATCTATATCTATATCTATATCTATATCTATATCTATATATCACAACAACCCTGGGAGATAGCTACTATGATCACCATATGTCAGATCAAAAACAGAGGCTCAATTATTTTGCTCAAGGCAAAAGGTAGTAAAATGCCTGGCTAGAATTCCAATTGCAGTCAGTCTAATATCAGAAACTGTTCATTCCACTACACCAAACTGCCTTTCTCATGAACTTCATGCTTTCTAAGGGTCCCTCTAACACCTCCTCTTTAGTTCTGTAAATATCAGGGAATAATAACCAGTTCTCACATTTATAGTGTTACACAGTTCACAAAGCACTTTCACAGTGTTTCACCTATTTGATCTTCAAAATAATCCTGTGAAGTAGGCAGGTTGATCTTAGCCCTATAATTAGTAGGTGTGTTGGTCCTTGAAATCCAGTCTTCTCAACTAAATGCAGTGCTCTTCCCACTAAATCATGATTCCTTTCAAAGGGGATCTTGTTTGCTTCTGGGAACACTACAACCCTGAGGCAGGAAAAATGGAAAAGCCCAGAAAAGCAGAATCTCAACAACACAACAAGCAGAAAACTAAAATAAACCAAATGGCTTTTTTTTTTAATTGGCAGACAATTTTCATAACGGGTCTCCAAAAGCACTCTAAAACTGCAAAGTGCCATTCCAATAACTAACGAAATTTCTTTCCTTTTTTTACTAATAATTATTTGCATTCCAATTTGAAAGTTAGCAATCTGTACCTGGTACACATAACCCTATTACCCAAATTTCTATCTGCTCCTCTCTGTTCTCCAAATTCTTCCCCTGCTTTAGTCTAGTTCTTTCCTCTGTGAGATACATTCTGACTTTAGTTTATGGTAGAGCAAGTTATTTCATTCAATAAATTCAGAGTACACACTGTTAGGTACTGGAAAGGGATCAGGAGAAGACATGTAAACTAATAATTCTGTCAGTAAAAGAGGTAAATAAAAATGCCATATGAATTCAAAGAAAGAACTCTCACTCCTTGAATTGAAGGAACTAGAAGTATCCAGAATTACCATATAAACTGTGTCTTGAAGCATAAGTAATAAAATAGAAAAGTAGAAATGGGAAATTTTTTTCTAGCATTTTTAGTTTCAAGTATACAGTACATTGGTTCGACAGTTATATAGTTTATGAAAAGATACCACCCAGTTACTCCAGCACCCCTTTACTTCTACACATAGTGATTACATTACTGCTAACTGCATTCCCTATGCCGTGCTCCCCATCCCCGTGACCATCTATGAACTACTAATTTGTACTTCTTTAACTCTTCAGCCATTTCTCCCAGTCCCACACCCCACTTCCCATCTGGCCATCACCAGATTGTCCTCTATATTTGTGAGTCTGTTTTCTATTAGTTTGTTCTTTTTGTTCCTTAGATTCCACATATAAGTGAAATCATGTGGTATTTGTCTTTCTCTGTCTGGCTTATTTCACTCAGTATAATAACCTCTAGGTCCATCCATATCATTGCAAATGGTAGGATTTCATTTTTTATGGCTGAGTAATATTCCGTTGTATATATATGAACCATAACGTAAAAAGGGGAAATTTTTAAGCAAAGGAAACTGGGAAAACATGGAATCAACATGGGGACTCATTAGAGGTCTGTGGTGAGAGTATTGGGAGATAATACAGGACTACTACATTGAGACCACAGTTCGGGAATCTCTGAATAAGATTAAGAATTTTTGTTGTTTAAAAAATAATGGCACATAGTAGGTACTTAATGATGATCCAGAGCTGTACTCTTGGTATACTCACTTGCACACAGGGATACAAGAAGAGCAATGAATATAAGGTAGAAGGCAAATAGTTAAGTTTGGGACACAGAGTTTGAGATAATCAGGACATCTAGAGAAAGAAGTTTTGCAGTTAGGTACTGCCAGTGCCTAATAGTGACTGCATACATACCTCATGTTTATAGAACAGAAGAATGACTATAACTCTAGAAGGCAGAGATCTGCAGTTAGAGATCTGGGCATCATCCAGAGACAATAGCCAAGTGGATAAAAGCAAAGGGACACACATCTTTCATGCAATTTGCGTGTCAGATTTCTGGATGTGAAAGGATCTTTAGTTCACAGATCTCTTTCTCATGTCTATTTCTAACTTACCTGCCCCACACCATTAAATACCGTGTTCGTTTCACATTTATATCATGCTTCGCCTAGATCGCACATTCCTTGCATGCAGGGATACTTTTAAATTCTTTTGGATACCATAATACTACATCTGCAGTTTCATTTTCTGTGGTTTAGTTACCCACAGACAACTATGGTACAAAAATATTAAATAAAAAAAATTCCAGAAGTAAACAATTCGTAAGTAGAAATTGCATGCCATTCTGAGTAGTGTGATGAAATCTTGCAGAGACCACATTCACAAAACTTTTATTACAGCATATTGTCATAAATTATTCCATTTTATTATTGTTGTTAATCTCTTGCTCTGCATAATTTATAAACTAAACTTTATCATAGGTATGTATAAGAAAAAACATAGTATATATAGGGTTTGGCACTATCTAGTTTCAGGCCTCCACTGGAGGTCTTGGAACGTATCCCCCACAGACACATAACTGACACTCTGTTAACACTTGAATGATAAACATGAATATCCAACTGAAAGAAGACTCCATAACCCAAGCTAGATAAATGAGAATGGACCATTTTACAAGTGGAGAGATTAAATGTATGGCTAATAGTCCCTGCCAATTAGCTACAGAATGGCAACTAAGACTTAAGTTCCTTACACCCAGTTCATTTCCTTACGGCCACTGCCAGGTTTCTCGGGGAGCTTGCACCTATCTTCTAGTGTCTAAGGCCACTCAAGCAATGCACCATTCACACTCTGTCAAAGCCCAAACACAAGGCACAAAGTGGACAGGGCAGTTATAACTTTATTGAGGTTCTTTTTAATTAAAATGCTTCACAGTAGAGACCACAGCCTACAGGGCAAGCAGCCTCCGAAATGTTTCCTGCCCAATGACCCATAAATTGAAGTAGAATTTGGTTCATTCCATATCTCCTTTAGTCTCAGTGTCTAAGGGGTAATAGATGAAAGGGGAGAGAATGACCAAGAAGAGGCGATGAGTCTCTTAAAAGAAAAACCTGAAGGGCCTTAACTGCAACTAGCTGAAGTTTGTCTTACAACTGTTCATCACCTAGTTCCAGCCAACCAGGAATAAATTAAATACAGTTCTCCCACCTCAGCTGATGACAACAGGAGGAACTTTCTAGAATTTGGGCCTAGTTTGAGCTATTTGCCAACATCACAGCTGCCAAAATCACCAAAGGAAATTTTAGAACAGCTCCTCTACCCTCTCACTCCACTCAATGGGAGGCCCAGGCTTTACTCCAGAAATCAGTCCCTCAGGCAGTCTTCATTTACGCTTCTTCTCCTGTGTGCTGGTAAACCAGGAGTCCAGGAGCTTCTTGCTGTAGTATAATTGCCAGGCATGCACCTGGACGGCCAGCACCAACACCAGGTACATGACAGAGACAGCAGAAAAACCAAAGAGGAAGCGGTAGGTCTTGCCATGGCGGTAGAGCTGCTGTGCAGCAGGGAACATCTCCATACTTCCATAAATGAGGGGAGCAATGGAAAAGAGCCCCATGCTGATCATGGAGAGCACCAGGTAGCTAATGTTGTTGCGGGGGAAGGAGAGGAGGCCCAAGAGAGAGGGCACAATGCTCAGCAAATACGGGTACTCCCACTGATAGGGCATGGCCACCTGATCATGTGACAAGAGCCTTAGGTGTCCCACGCTCATCTTGGCAACCAGCAGCAGCCATGTGACCAGATGCACGTAGATCAGCTTCTTGATTTCATACTTGAGGGTCACACTGTGGGGTAAAGCAGAGAGAGAAGTACCTTTCATTCAAAATTTTCCAACCAATTATGTCAGGAAAGTATACTAGACAATGGGATACAAATGTGAATAAAATATAGTTCCTGCCTAGAGGCTGGGACAAAAAAAAAAAAAAGAGGAAGAAAAATAATTAGAAAACAAACTGAAAGAGCTCTAGTAAATATATGTTTCATAGGAAGCAGTAATCAATTCTGCTTGGGATAGGATGTTTGAGAAGGCTATCTAGAGGAGGGTGATAATTGAGCTAGGCTCTGAGGGGTGGGTGGAGATGGGCATTCCAAGCAGTTAATTGCATGCACGCAAAAAGGCATAGGCATTTGTGTTCCAGGAGAGCCAGTGGTTGGGTATGACAGGAATACATCATGGGCGGAGGGGAGAGCAGGACATGAAGTTGCAAAGGCTATGAAGAGTCAATTTAAAGAAGAGTAACTCAGCACTGTGCTTAGAAAGATGACTGACTACACTGATAGCCTAGAGGAAGGAAGTACTGGCAGCGCATAAACCAGCTCAGGATGCTCATCTCTCCACCTACAGTGAATTTTTCATCTAAAGGAAGTACACATTTCTTATTCTTCTAACTTTCTCAGGTGCTTAGTGTATCCTCCTCAGATCCCAGCAGGCAGTTTCTGCTCTGGGCAGATATGAAAACAACTTGCTTAGGTTGTGAGGTGTCCTTAGGCAGGGATCTTAAAGATAAGGATGAAGTGAGGGTCCAAAGAGTTTGTCATTCTTTAAAGTTCTGGAGAGAAAGATGCAAAAGAACATTCTGGAAGAGTTCAATAGATTTAAGGAAAGAGAATCTTTAAAGATTTTTTTTATTTTTAAAATATTCATTATGGAAAGTGTGGAAAGGTAGGGGAAAAAAAATCAGTCGCCTCTAGACTTCAAGATTTATGAAGGCAGTGAGCAGTTTTTTGTGTTTTGTTAACAAGCTTTTTTATTGAAGGTATAATATGCATTCAAAGGCCAAGTCTGCTTTTGGTCTATATATGCTATTATATATATATGCTAGGCGTTTATATCCTCTATATATGCTAGGCGTTTAGTGCCTAGCACAAACTGCATGATAGGTAGAATATTCGTTGAATGAATACACTTCT